ATAACTCACCTAATAATCTTCTCCATAATTTTACCAGGCACTGAAGTGAGACTGACAGGCCTGTAATTGCTAGGATCTTCTTTCTTGCCCTTCTTGAAAATTGGGAGCACGTTTGCCAGCTTCCAGTCAACTGAGACCTGTCCAGATTCCCAAGACCATTGAAAAATAATTGAGAGAGGTCTTGCAATGACATCAGCCAGCTCTCTAAGTACTCTGGGATGAGTCCAATCAGGCTCCATGCACTTGTATACATTCAGGTGGAGCAAAAAGTTCCACACAAATTCAGATTTAACTGGGAGTTTCTTATTCCTGCAGACATGGTCCTCCAAATCAGGGCAGCTGGGATCCCAGAGACAATCACTAGTGTTAAAGACAGAGGTGAAGAACACATTAAACTTCTCTGCTTTGTCTATATCCCTGCTTGTGTGGTAACGATCCTCATCAAGTATTGGACTATCGGACCAATGTTTGCTCTGGTCCTCCTTTTTCATTAACATACTTAAAAAAGCCTTTTTTATCGTTCCACAAACTTCTGGCCAGCTTCAACCCTAAATGAGTTTTGGCAGCCCGGATTCTCTCTCTACAAATGCGAGCAGCATCCCTGTAGTCCTCCCATGTCACCCAACCTTGCTTCCAGCAGCCATACGCTTTCTCTTTCCACCCAAGCTCTTGAAGAAGATCCCTGCTCAGCCAAGCCAGACTTTTTCCTCTCCTGCTTGACTTCTGATACTTGGGATTTGCCTGATCCTGTGCTCTTAGGAGGTGTTGCTTAAAAACTGACCAGCACTGGTGGACACCAGTATCTTTAAAAGCAGTTTTCCAGGGAACCATACTAACTAGTTCCTTGAGCAGTCTGAAGTCAGCTCTCCCCAAATCCAGGGCTGAAGTTTTGGTGGCAGTTTACCTCCTATCACCAAAGATTTTGAATTCAACTACCTCATGGTTGCTATGGCCAGGGCAGCCACTTATCACCACTTCACCCATCACCCTGATAAGGTTTAGTGTATGTTTGGAAAATATTAGAAAAAAATATGTAAATGGAAGATAAAGCAGCTACTAGCAATCTTGCTGGAAGTTATAGGTAGATAACATGGACCGCTCTGTGTATTCAGAACCAGCTACACCAATAGGAGATTTGGTACCTCAGATATAACCTGCATTGGATTAAACAAGTTCTCTGTGTGCAAATGGTAGTGCCATGAAACCTGTACCCTAAAAAAAAAACAACCAACCAACCAAAAAAAAAACAACAGCTCTGGAGCAGCTCTGCCCCTGGCTACAGTCAAAGCATCTGTCAAAGAAGTCTTGTTTATCTACCTATTTTACAGGTCAGCTCAGCACTAGAATCATTTTGGCTGATCCAGCTATATTAAATAGTAAACATGGCAGTTAAGCTTTGAGGCCAGATGTCATGAGGTGCAGATGCCAGGATATAAGGAAAGATCCTGCAATGTTGAGTGCTTAGTTATAGTAAAGCATTCTTAAACATGTAAGGAAAAGCTTTGTGCACTTTCTGGAGCCTCATTTGGCTCTTCCCTGAACTTCGTCCAGTAGCACACTTTTCATTTCTATCTGTAATTACAGCCTTCGCATCTGGCTAGAAAGCTAAAGAATGGAACCAAAGCAAGGCAACTTTGTCAGTAGCCCAATTCTGGACTTTGGAGAAAAAAGCACTATGCTTGGTGGCTTATGCTTAGTTAACTGCACGAAGATCATAGCCTTCAAGTTATTGTATTTCAAAGACAAAAGAATTTCAGTTACTCTAATGATAAAAGAAGGTAGTGCAGCAAGTTGGTCCAGTGCCATAGGATGACAACCGGGCATGTTTATGGTACTTATAAATATCATCCTTTTAATTGCATACTTTTCTTTTTAAGACTATATGTATTAGACAAAAAACAATTAGTCTGTTATTTTGAAATTTCCTATGTGCTCCCTAGCTTTATGGTATTAAAAAAGCAGTTGCAAACTTTCCATCTGGTGGGCTTGTCCCAAGTAAAAAAAAAAAAAAACAAAAACAACCAACCAACCAAACCAACAAACAAACAGAAAACAACTCAGTTAGACTACCTGCACTCTACATAGAATATTAGCACTGATTTTTAGAAGTCTTTGCTAAATATTTTTGTTATATCAATGCATTTGAAAAATGCAATACAAACAACAGTGAAAGGGCTCCCCATAAATTCAGCATTTTTCCATTATGCAATTTCATATCTGTAATTTCTAAGGTGTATGTAGAGGCAATCTTGCTATGCTGTGCATTACATTGTGCTCTATATGTTTATGTAGGACCTCCCTGCCTTTCCCAGCACCGGAACTTTCAAAATGTTGAAAATATTCCTAGCCATGAAATTACTTGTGTTCCTAAGTAATTCACTTAAAATGCTGTTCAGACAGTTTTGCAGATTGGAAATGAATGCTGAGACCCAGAGATAAATACATACCAGGTCAACACAAGTGGTAATAACCGATGAAATAACAGCTATTCATGCACTTCTGCATGATCCTAGGTCTACAACAAAGTAACCTGGATTAGTTTAACCATCAAGAATCACACATGCAACTCTCAGAAAGAGGCTGTAATTTCCAGGTCTTGTTCCTCTGTACCTTCCATCAGAAAAAAATAAAATAAAATAAAATAAAATAAAATAAAATAAAATAAAATAAAATAAAATAAAATAAAATAAAATAAAATAAAATAAAATAAAATAAAATAAAATAAATAAAATAAAATAATAATACAAAAACCAAAACCATATTGTCAATCATACAGATTTACCCACAGTATACTCTGAGGACTTTGTAACAGCAATCTAGTTAAAGACTATATTCTATCATCTACATTCTTGAAGTGCATTGACATTTTTTCACGCGTATATCCTACCCACTTCATAGTTATTGCATATGAAGAATTGCACACTTATATGCCTTGAAATAATAAAATGCTAAAAAACATTTAAATTCGATTTTTTTTTTTTTTGCTACTGTAGTATGCTCAGTAACTGTATGAACAGCTAGTCTCACAAAGTCTCACATAACTTCAACATTTCAAGAGTGATCCATGCGCTTGGGTACATTTGATTCTTTTCCGTTTTATTGAGACATTTTTATTAGGGTTTTTTTTTTTAGCTTCCCATACTTAAACTGCCAACTTGACTCTATATCCAGGATCAAAGCCAATGTCTGTCATTTTATAATAGGAAGTATCAAGTAAAAAACAGTTTGTACATCAGAATGTTTTTTAAAAAATCTTTGTTTCACTTATTTTTATTTTTTTATTTTTTGTAATGTTTTTTTCTGTTTCTTCAGAGTTATCCGCTCCTTTTCTTCAAGGTCATGTCCAAACCAAAAAAATATGGACTGTGTGGCATTGAGGACCAGGACCACAGCTCTTCTGCACGGGGTTAGCCTGGCCCTACTCACCCTGAAACCAGATGCCTTTTTCTTCCTACATTTCATTGATGCCAGTAATACTTTGCTACATTTCTTTACTGCATTCTAGGTGCCAACATGCTGTTTCTTACTGTTTCCTTGCATTAATTATTTTTGTTTCATTCTTTCTTTTTCTTTGTATCATGGTAATATGGCAGCTTTCCTTTTAAGTGGTCTTCAACCTTTTATGATTTAATTAAGCTAAAATGATACTTAATCATCTGCTTCCTTCTACCTCTAGGCTTCCTTTTACTTTTTTAATTAAATTTGCCTAATAGTGACAGAAGCAGACAAATTACTGCAGGTGCTCAACACATTAGAAAAATAAGGCCACCTTTTTAGAAGTCTTAGTAGAAATTTATGCAGCTGACTCTAGGTTTTATTACTTGGAACAGCTGATGGCACTTGCTTCTCAGCCAGGTGGATTTCAGTGCTCTTCCTTGTCTCAGCAGGGTCTTTCCCCAGGCTGTCACACAGAACCACCAGTTCCATGTGAAGAGGCAACGTGCAGGTATTTCAATAGCATTTTTTGTCCACCTCCCTCAGGCTGTAGTTACCAAGTCATCATAAACAGAAATCTCACAAACTTCATTTGCATGTTTTTTGGAATGTGTAGTGTCAAATGTAATAAAGATAAATTAAACTTTCTTTCTCCACTAGCCTTCTACTTATTAGCCCCTCACATCATTTCTGTAAGACAACGGCAGTCTTACAGACTTTTTTTTTTTTTTCCCCTGTTGGCTTTTATTTACCAATTGATTTTAATGCTTGAAAATTAGAATCCACACGTATATAAAGAAGTATTGAAAACCCTGTTATAACCCCACAGGGAACTGGTCCCACTATAATATAAGCTTTGGTCGTACTTACAGGGTGAGGGGAAAGGATGCCATTGCCAAGAAGCTACATGGAGAAATTAATGCTTCTCTGCATGTAAGATACTTAAACTCACTGGGGAAAATCCCAGTGGGAAAGCCTGTGAAGCATTTTTGTAATCCCTACCCTCGATTTTCCCACCAGGAGTACAGGGCAGAATATTCCACCTGGATATTTAATCAGAGGCTATCCCCGGTGCAAGCACTGCTGGCTTGCCAGCAGCCACCAACACCCTGCACCACCTCTTCTGCTTTGAGCTGCAGGGCCTCTTCCAGCTCCTTTGCACAGCTCCAAGCCGTGCCGCGAGACAACCTCCCCTCTGCCAGGGGGTCTGCCACGAAACGCGGGGGCCACCTCATTCCTCTCCTTGCCCTTTCCTCATCTCGCCTAGCCCTGAGAGACTTGGGAGGGTGTCACAGGGGAGACCCCAGCCCTCCCCGCACCCCAGACCGCCAGGAGGGGGATGCAAGCCGAGGGGGCAGCACGGGGGGGACCGCGGGGCGGGGCGGCTCGGCAAGGGGCGGGCAGAGGAGCTGGGAAGGCTCGGGGCGGGTGAAGGGCCGGGCTTTTTCGTTGCCAGGTGAGCGCCCCGGCTGCGCCGCCCCTCTGAAAGCGCGCAGCGGCGCGGAGCGCACGGAGGCAGGCGAGCGGGCGAGCGAGCGAGCAGGCATCGCCCCTCGGCTCGGCGCACTCCAGGCCCCTCCGCTGCTATGGCGAAAGCGGGCAGGAAGGGATGCAGCTGCCCGGGCTTCCTGAGGAAAAACTGGCTGCTGCTCAGCACGGTGGCCGCCGTGCTGCTGGGTGAGTGAGGGAGAGAGGGAAAACGGGAAAAAGGGAGTGCGGCAGCGCGGCGCTGTCGCCCCCCGCCCGGCACAGCACGGCCCTGCCTGCCATAGGGCTACTGCGGGGCCAGGCCGGCGCCCGATCAGCGCCAGCGAGGAGGTGGGGAGGGGGGCGATGGGGCCGGGAGCGGCGCAGCCCCGGCTGCCGAGAGCGGGTCTGCAGGGACAGGGCGCCGCGGCGGCAGGCATCGGGGCTCGGCCCGGCCCCGCGCCGCCACCTGTCGTCATTAGCGCTTGTCACAACGAGGGGATCATTAGCGGGGTAAAGCCGCCGTAGGAGAGGATCTGCGGGAGCACCGCGCCGCCGGACAAACGGGAGCCCTTGGTGCAGGGCGCCCTGGTCAGCCCAGGGCTGCCTTTGCATAGCTCGGGGGGAGCGACGTGCTCGACCGGGGTCCCCACGGGGACCCAGCCGGGGTCCTGGTGCCTGCTCTTAGGCTGAAGGTGGGAGCCTGGCTGCGGCTGAGGCCGCTGCAGGAGAGCGTTGTAGCAGCTCTGGGGTGCTTGCAGTGGCCTAGGAGACCAGGAAAGTTTGGCAGTGGCACGCCTCTTTCAGTGAGGGTTTTTGGGGTGCCATTTTAAAGATGAGATTGCTCCACTGCTTGCTGGGCAGGTTTCTGAGGAATGAATGAGTTAAATGCCATCTGATGAACAAGGGGGCAGAATGACCAAGAGAAGCTGTTAAATGACTCGGCCAGAGACACTTTTCCGTGGAACATAATTTTCATCCTAGCCACACACCTTCTTTGTTTCCTGCTGGAGATTATTTTCACACTAAGCAAAGAGACCTTCCTTTGCATTATTGCTTCTGTAGGGAAAGGCTGCTTGCACGGCTTCATTAATGGCATTTGCTGTTTGATGCTTCTCTTTCAGGTGACATTTCTGCTGATTTAAATTGCGGTTGGAATGTATCCATTTCCGTGCATGTTTGTTCAGGAGAGAATTAGCCTTTAGGAATTCTACTCAGCTATTTATAAGCCGTGATCAGAGGTATACATATGTATACATGTTCAGTATTTGAAAGGCTTCTTTTCCACCTGGGCAATGAGTGGAAAGATTTCTATGAGTGCTGTATACCAATTGCCAAGAGCTAACATTGAAAATCTGTTCATCACAACTGGAGGACTGTGTATTTGTGTCCCTGTTTATCTGTGTACAGTCACTTTGTCAGGTACACTTCTTCAAGCTGTCAAACTTATTTCCCAATTATAGAAGCGGACAAAAAATGTTCCCTTTCACCATTTTCAATGAATGTTGGTAGAACTGAAATATGTGTGGTATAATCCTACAGGCTGATCATTCTGAAATGTGATTTCCCTAACTGAGTACCACAGAGCCAGAGCCTGGCAATGTGTGAACAATTCTTCCTTAGTTCCCCTAATACCCAATGGGCTTGCACCTTGAGAGAGTGTGACAGACCAGATCCCTCTGGTGTCTTTGAACTTCTCTGCCTGCTATACTATAATTAACAGTCTTGAACTCGGGGGAGCTCTATAACATGACAGAATTAGTCTCTATAAATAATCCTTGATTTTTGGACCAAATGACATGCAACAAGCTATGTGTCAGTTGTATTTTCAGTATGTCTAGAAGGTGAAATAAATTATACAAGGAGAATGGTGAAACACCTGTTAGGATGGCTTTCATTATGTTGCATGTCATCTTTTACAGGTTTGGGAATAGTTCTAAAATACCTGTAGTCCACAAATACTTTGTAATCAAACTCATGTATTTATTCTTTTTTAATATACTCTGAAAAATTGCTTTGAGGCTTATTTATCGACTTAGTCTGGAGGATCAACATTCATAAGCAGAAGAATATCACATGATTTTGAAGGCAGAAAATGTGTTCAGACAATTCTTAAAAAGTATGCATGAGTGAGGACTGGAAATACCAAAAGAAGCATGTTGTAGAAACCTAATGTAAAAGTTGTCCAGCTGTATTGGAAAGTATCTGATATTCCATCACTATTATGAAATCAGGAGTTTTGCTTATTACCATCAAAGCTGTAGTCAGCATCCTAGCAAGGTATGCCTGTCTTTGCTCATAGCCTTGCTATGCTGAAATTTTTTCCTGATTGCTTTTTGTGCTCATCTGTGAAGAGGCAGGGAGACCCCCTCAGAACTTCAAGCACTTCATTCTTTGAGGGTAATTACTTTGTGTGTTGCATTTGAAGCTTTCAACCATATGTTGCCGTTTACATTTTTGAAAACATTGGACTTTCTTTTACAAAGCAGTTGACAGTGGGTGAATGATTTAAAGTCTGTACAGGTGAAAGTTACTCAATCTTAACAATGCAATGTCTTTTTGGTGAAAATACCTGTTCATGTATAATTCTCAAAGAAAACACCACTTGATACTTGAAAGCTTATCTGTCATACCTTCACAGAGATTCTGTTTCAGACCACCAAACTGATGCAGAGAAACCTCTGAACTCAGATTTGGAGTCTAAAGTTAACTGAATTTCAGATTTGGGGCTAATTCTGAGACTTAGGGATTGTATAAATACAGTGAGAGATTTGGCAGAATATTTGGTCTGAGAAGTTCACTGTTCATTAGTTCTTAGCACATACTGGAGGCATGCACTGGATCCTCTGTGCAGACCACTGACTCAGAGATGAGGGTTGGATGCATCTATGCCTCCTCTGACTCACTGTGCTTTTCTAGGAAGCAGAAGGAGAGGTGCAGGACAGTAGCAGCCTCGTGTAGGTAACTGCAGAAGGAGGGATGTCTTACATCTTCTTGCTCCGCTGACCTTATTGAACAAAATAAGCAGCTGAGCTAACAAAAGCAATTTAGAAGTCAGCTTACTTCAAGTGTTCCTTCTGCCTTTAATAAAGAAAGTTATATTGCTTTGAGTTTGCACAATCAAGTCACAGTAAACCAGAAATATCCCTGAAAGTTACTCACCCTGAAACAGGTTTCCAAAGGACAATTGAAAAGAGAGGGTTTAAGTCACACTTCATAGGATTCTCAGAGAACATCTATTTTTAATCATTACTTCGTCTCTGAGAGGCCACTGCTGCAATACCACCAAACCAGTCATGAGGGTAAACGGCTGGTGATGTGTAAATACTTACTCATTGATTAGTCTGTGGGTCATAGCCTAATCGCATGTATTCCTGAGCAATTCTTCTGCAGAACAGTTTTTTTTTTTCTTATAGTGAAAAGTGTAAGTGATCGAGTGGATGTGGTAGTAGGCCTTGCGGTGCAATAGCAATCTGCAAAGGTCTTTCTCCATACTCCGAACTTAAACACAAATAGGTTGCTTTTTTTTTTTTTTTCCCTAATGCAAGTATTAATTATATCTGCTAGGACAGTATCTTTTTGCAATACTTCTTCGGTTGGAAAATATGACTGAGGGATTTGGCTTTCATAAATTTGTTTTTTGTATGTGTGTGGTGAGTGTGGCTTTTGAAACAAATTTGGATCTTGAGGTACCTGTGAGCTTGCCTGTAGCTGAAGGCTTATTTTCAACAGCACTTACGGGCTAAGAAATTCTTCAAATAATCCTAAAATAGACATAGTAAATACAATATCTAGTTTGCTAGATCCATTAATCAAGAGGAGCTGTGAATGACAGGTATCCTTTCTACAGCCAGCCAAAGAATCGTGTTTATCAAAGATGTTTAAGAGCTATTTATTTTGAAGGCAACGAAGAATCTTTTTGTACTGTGCCATTAACTTCCTTCTTTGTTCTTCTGTTCGTTTGTATATATATATACATATATAGCTCACAGCAGTGATACTTCATGCTTCGGATTTTAAGAAAAAACAGGATTTTTTGTCATTGCTATGTGGAGGGAGACATGTGGTGCTGATGGGAGGGAGGAGGACACAGAGCTGTGGCTGATGCAGGAGTGCTCTAGGAGCTGTCCAAGGTGGCTAATGGGCACAGCCCTGGGGAAGGGGCTGCCAGAGAATGGGTGAAATGCAGAGCTAAAGAAATTAGGAATTTTGAAACACTGGCATCAGGTAGAGATGAGGTGACTGAGAGAGGGAGGAGGTGTATAAAATATACATAGGTGTATAAAATATACATAGTTCCCATCTGCAACATAAGTGTTGCAGAAAATGTGAGCAGTGCAACTGTACTTTTTTTTTTTTTTTTCAGGATTTGATAAATGCAGCATCCGTCAGAGCTTTTCTTACGTGCTTTATGATATCACCATAGCAGTCTATATGCTAAAAACTTGCTCATTTTAATTAAAATTGTTGTATTCCTTTACAGTACTGAGTTGTAGCATCTTCCTATAGTAATATTTTTGGACCTTCAAATGTCTCTGTTTAAAATAAATAAATAAATTCTGGTGTATTCACATGTGCTAACTGTAGCTAGAAAAGCTTAGCTCCTCCTACAATCAGATACAAGAGAATGTGACAGCTTCCTTTAAAAGCATTAGTTCTTTTAAAATTCACCCATATCAGAGCAGGGTCTGCACATACTGGCATTACTGGAAGTGCATTCTTACAAGAATGAATGCCTTACAGGTTGAAGACAACAAGGGAAACAGTAACATATGACTCTGTTGATGACGTCTTGCAGGTGAGAGACTGCCTTGAGTCCAGGGACCACAACATACTTCTCAGGGTGAAAAGTTTCTTGTACAAATGTAGCCCAGAATCTCTGAACCTCATAAACCTGTAATGTTTTTCAGGTTCTTCCCATAAGTTATTTCTGTCCCTGACAGGAGCAATTTAAAAATTAAGAGCCCATTCTGAAAATAGATTAATGCTTCACTCGTTCTATTTCCACCCCCTCATACCTTTACAAAAAAAGTGGCACCTGTAGCATTTGTCTTTGCTTAAATAATACAGTGTCAGTGTTATAAACAATGAAGCAGATTAATTGACTTTTGAAGTACACTAGCTCATTGGGCTCTTTTATTCATAGCAGAAAAAAAAAATGGTATTTACTAAAACAAGAGAATTATTATCCTGGTGATTTCTGAGGAGTA